GGCAACCACAGCTGCCAGTTTTTTACCGTAAATTTTACGTAATTTTTTTTTACCGTGTAGAAAAGTGGAAACTGGAGATTCACTGTGGGAACCCTGATTAGTGAACTGAAGGACTTGCAGTCTAATTGTTTTATGAATGTGTTTCCACAGAGCAGCCAATATAGTCACTTTTTCCATTTGAAAAATGTCTCATTCTGCGGCTACCATCCCAGAAACAAGAAGTAAGTCAAGCGTTTACTGGCAACCTTTCAATTTTCAGTGACAATGATGATGGTTTTATTATTATTAATTTGCATATACACTACCCTTCAAAGGTTTGGGGTCAGTAAGATTGTTTTTTTAGAAAGAAAATTATTTTATTCAGACATTAAGGATGCATTAAACTGTTTAAAAGTGACTGAAGACATTTATACGTTAAGAAAGATTTCCATTTCTAATAAATGCTGCTCGGTGAACTTTCTATTCATCTGTGAATCCTGAAAAATAAAATGTATCAGTTTCCACAAAAATATCGGGCAGCACAACTGTTTTCAACATTGATAATAATCAGAAATCAGCATATTAGAATGATTTCTGAAGATCATGTGACACTGAAGACTGGAGTAATGATGCTGAAAATTCAGCTGCGCATCACAGAAATAAATTACATTTTAATAGATATTCACATAGAATACAGCTATTTTAAATTGTAATAATATTTCACAATTTTACTGTTTTTACTGTATTTTTGATCAAATAAATCCAGCCCTGGTGAGCATAAAAGACTACTATTAAAAACATTAAGAAAATGGTAATTATCCCAAACTTCTGACCGGTAGTTAATGCATTGGTTCTGTTTTGTGAACAGTCAGTATTTTAAGGTCTGTATCTGCACAGGTATTTTGGCTTCATCACCAAACATCCAGCTGAGGAGAGATTCGCCTGTCATGTCTTTGTGTCGGAGAACTCCACTAAACCGCTCGCAGAGTCCGTCAGGTCAGTCTGATTTTCATGTTTGCTTGACAAAAGCTGATACTGATCTGCTATTTCAGCTGCTGCTGCTTCTTCTGAGACTAAATTTACTAGAGTTTTCAAGCAACAAACAACAAACTCTGCTCAGACCTTCAGACTCGTCTGACTCAGACTTACGGATTTCATTAAACGAACGATCAAAACTACAAAAAAGTCCCATGGACTTTGAGGGGGTCAAAACTTTCGTACAATAACACATACAGCGTTTCTTTTAAAACACGCGTACATAATGTTAAATCATGCAAGCTACATGTTAAAACATGCTAGCAACATGCTAAAACAATGCTAGCAATGTGTGAATTAATGTTAGCAACATGTTAAACTATGCTAGCAACATGTTAAAAGATGTTAAATCATGCTAGCAACGTTAAATCATGCTAGCAACATGTTAGCAATTTGTGAAACCATGATTGCAACATATGCTAAACTATGCTAACAACAAGCTAAATCATGCTAGCAACATGTTAAAACATGCTAGCAGTGTGTGAATTAATGTTAGCAACATTGCTAAACAATGCTAGCAGCATGTTAAAACATGCTAGCAAAATGCTAAACTATGCTAGCAGCATGTTAAATCATTCTAGTAACATGTTAAAACATGTTAGCAATGTGTGAAATCATGCTAGCAAAATGCTAAACTATGCTAGCAGCATGTTAAATCATTCTAGTAACATGTTAAAACATGTTAGCAATGTGTGAAATCATGCTAGCAAAATGCTAAACTATGCTAGCAGCATGTTAAATCATTCTAGCAACATGTTAAAACATGCTAGCAACAAGCTAAAACATGCTAGCAACATGCTAAAACATGCAAGCAATGTGTGAATTAATGTTAGCAACATGCTAAATCATGCTAACAACATGTTAAATCATGCTAGCAACATGCTAAATCTATGCTAGCAACATGTTAAATAATTCTAGCAATGTTAAAACATGTTAACAATGTGAAATAATGCTAACAAAATGCTAAACTATTCTAGCAAAAAGCTAAATAATGCTAGCAACATGTTAAAACATGCTAGCAATGTGTGAAATAATGTTAGCTACACGCTAAACTATGCTAGTAATGTGTTAATACATGATAAATCATGCTGACAATGTGTTAAATCATGCTAGCAATGTGTTAAATCATGTTAGCAACATGCTAGCAACGTGTTAAATCTTGCTAAGTGTTAAATAATGTTAGCAACATGTTAAAACATGCTAGAAAGTGTTAAATATTGTTAACACTGTGTGTTAAATCATGCTAGCAACATGTCAAATCATGTTAGCAACATGTTAAAATATGGTAGCAATGTTAAATCTTGTTAACAACGTGTTAAATCGTGCTAGCAATGTGTTAAAACACGGTAACACCATGCTAATTTACATTACACGTGCTAAAACATTTTAGCAACTTGCTTAAATTTTTAGCAATGTTTAAGACAACATTTTAATAGCATTTATTGAGTGAAATATTCAAAATGTTTTTTTTTAAGTTATTTCAAACTTTCAAACAAGGCTTTGTCAAGCCAACATTAGCGTTTGTTTACAAACCTTACTCATGAAGTCCTACAATATAATACATGTATCTGTAATATTCTGCATTCTTCTGTGACTCAACTCTTTCATTTTATTACTTCTTATTGGCTCACATAGTGTTTATTAGTATATTCTCTGTCTTCTTTAACAGGAAAGCTTTCCAGTTGTACTATAAAGAGTTTGTGGAGGTCTCGTGTCCAACAGAAGACATCTACCTGGAATAATCTCGGACTACAAAACAGCAGTGTATATCACGACTATGCTACATAAGTATATGAGAAATAATAATATCAAAGACTGATATACCTGACAAATTAAATGAAGAGTGACTGACTGAGGCTTGTAACGTGACGCACGTGACCTGGTTTTGTGTTGGAATTCATCAGACTGATGCACAAAAAAAGAAAAATTGTACAGTATAAAATGCTGAAATTATTTTCCAGATATTGATGATTTTGGATGCTTTGGATGAGGCTTTCATCCGTTTCTCTGCTCTTGCTGCTGCGCTGTGCTTCAGGCTTAACATACCTAACCAGCATATGCTGTTTTTTTCAACAGGGGTGTGTTGTTGTTTCACTTGACAGCACGATATTAAAATAAATCATTTATAATCTTGGTCAAACAATATTTAATTCAGAAGACCCCATCACTCACTACAAGAGTTTTCAAAGCTTCTGTGTACAGTAACCGACCAGATAGTTTAACATTTAAAATGGGTTTGCGTAACTGAACGGAACAATAATTAAAATTTATGATTAACCACCTTTATACCTACACACCTATGTTTTCTGTGAATGTGCAAGACGCCGTAAGTTAACTAGAAGAACAGTGTGTTTATGATTATAACTTATAAGAATACATTAAAATAATATGTTAACAAATACCACTTTGCAATATAATATATTAAGCAGTCTAAAGCAATTTAATATATCAAGCAGCATAACGGGCTGTTTTTGTACAGCTAAGCGTAACAGTTACCTGGAAGCGATGATACCGGAAGTCCTGCACATTCAAGTTAAACGGCGCCCGCTCTTTACGTTAAAAATAATGTGCCACGATTATATGGAGTCAACTCAATGCCACATATATTCGCAAAAGAACTGAAATATTGCAAAAGAAAATAAAAGTTTTGCAAACGAAAAGGAACATATTGAGAAAAAAATAAATGAAGAGTTCAGATGCAAAAGCATCTAAGTAGCCTACGTCTGACATTTTTATTTAAAATTAGCATTTTTTTTCTGGCTACTAGGTTTCTATGTAACTAAGTACTGATACTTCTGAATGGGTTGAGGCTGGGATTTAGCGCATTTGAAGTGAAGGTACTTGATGAACATATACTATGTGTGGAGAGCATTCACTCAGTATCTCGTCTCATTTTTGACCAAGATGACTTTTAGAGGCTTTTGCATTGGAAATCTTCAAACGTGCTTTTTGCAAACAAAAACAAAGAATTGCAAAAGAAGAAAAAAACAAGTTTTAGTTGCCACGCAGAAGATCAGCTCAAAACGCCAGTTTTGTTCAATGCATTTTAATGCGCAAGTGGACAACATCCAGATACCGTTGCAATTTAACACCAAGTGTAAACAGTGCCAAAACTTAATCTGCGTTATCCAGTTAGACAATATTATCTGATAAAATCGGCATAATTCACAGCTGCTTCGATAATGCATAACATTCAATATGGCGTCCAGCCTGACGAAGGTCTATTGAATGATGTTCATTGCTTCATTTTGCCATCACCACTGATCATCTGATCATGCTGTGTCTTTATAGCACAACAGACTCAAGGATTCGTTCCATCTGTATGTGACAAACACATTTATTGTTATACACAATAATACGCAGCAACTCACTGCTCAAGCCAAAAATGATAAAGACGATTTGAAAAATGTATTTACATTGTCTGAAACATGAAACCTGAAATGACACGTTTCTACTTGCAAATGCAACGGGTTGTCGGCAGGTTAAAACAGTTTTGGTGAAACATCAATGGTGTTGATCCGTAATACGGTCTGTGGCTGAATAATGACTGTTGGGGGGGGTTAAATCAATGCACTGGTGAAAAATGTCAAACAATAAAAGACTAAACATCTATTTTAGAATGAATAATTCAACATACTTCTCTTTCTTTGGAATCGATGTCTCTTCCAGAATCTCGCACCTATCAGTGCATAAAAGTGACTCTTTATGAACAACCGTATGTAGATGCTCCAAACTCATGTGTCCATTCTACCACATCTATATAAATCCACAATCCATAATCACATCAGACCATGAATAATGTCTAAAACGTGTACAAACTCAAACCACATGGGAGCAAAGCACCATTTCACAGCACTGTACTTACAATGAAACTTTCTCTCAATTAACAATACAACAATTCTCTTCAGACAATAATTATAAGTGTATTTCTGCACACATTTTAGGTTTGTTTCTCAAGGAAATGCAGAGCATTTAAACTATTGTTTTATTTTCCATAAAATAATGCACTCTGGGTATTCAGATGGTGGAAAACTCTCTTATCATGCGAGTATGTGATCGTCAGACGTGCTCAAAATTAAAAATATTTTTTTATTAGGAAAATAAAATGACAAAATATACAAAATTTCATTACAGTCAGTTTATCCAGTGAACTCCAGCCTCAAACTGCTGTTTATTATATATATATATATATTTTTTTTTTCAAACTGAGGTCAAAACATTTACATGTGTTAATCTTATATCTTTCATTTTTTCTTAGATTATGCCTGTATCAACCTCATATTAGTTTCAAACTTGTGAAACTAGAATTGCATTTGCATCTTACCCAAGAAGTGGTTTTCCAATAAGAGTGAAATAATTTCCTCCAACCAACACCTGCAAAAAAGCGTTAGCATGAAAACTTTGATTACTACACACAACTTGCATTTGTTGCGTACCTTGTAAAATGTCCTTTGTTTTGCATTTACCTTACTTTGCATATTAACTTCTTACGCACAATATTTGTAAAATTATTTCTCAGTATCAGCCAAATAATGAATGACAAGTAACAGGAATGTGTCAGTCAAAGACAAAAGAGAAGGAAAGAAGGAAGGCCGCGCTCATGCCATGCTGCCGGCATTAAACCGCATGTAATAATAGTATTTGAAAATGCAGTGCTTTGCAGTTTTAGTACATTTACGTATTTAGTTGAGCCTTAGTAGATCCAACATGACTTAAGGTCTTCGCACACTGAGTCCGAAATTTTCGCACGTTAAAAAATAAATACGATCTCACGTGTCAATCACGTTTACAACACTGAAACTTTCTTCCATCATAAAAAAAATTTGGATCGGGTTCGATTTTCTGCGCTTTTCTCATCTGTAGCAAGCATTTTGAGAGGCATGTTGACAATTCAGAGCCACCGTACAAGCGAACGCCAAAATCCAGAATGGCGTCTGACAAGTCGATCCACTTCTTCTCGCTGCACAAAGCACTGTATAAGTCCTTGCACACCGAGTTCAAAATTTCGGACTCGGTGTCTAAGGACCTTTATAAACGTCAGTCATGTCAACCATTTATATTGTTTCAAGCCATTCAATCGTGGAACGGCCTTAAAATTGTTTAAGGACCCAGCTGGACGTTTGGATGACGATGACGACGTTCACATCCCCACCCAAAAAATGTACACGGATCCTCCCATCTAGGTCAGAAAATACGGAAATCTGTATTTATACGGAAAAATCACAGCCTTGAATCTTTGCATCTCCAGTCCGATGAGCTGTACAGTAATCAATGTAAATCTGCATGAGTATCTGAATGCAGTGTTTGAGTGGATGAGAAAACCTTCTCCATTCTTATGCTGTCGCCACACGCTGCATCAATGTGGTTTTCGATGAGGATCAGGGCTTCATTGGTCACTTTCCACTGACGGCTGGCGAAATGAACCACAGCAAACAAGCGTCCGCACTCTCGCTTCTCAATCAGACCGTTCACCTTCTGCACGACCGCTGTGAGAGAGACAGGTTTGCCGAAAATAATTTTAAGACCTTCTAATGCTAAACTGAATGAAAATTTAATTGTGTGTGTGTGTGTCTGTGTGTGTATCTGTGTGAGTGTGTATCTGTGTGAGTGTGTGTGTCTGTGTGAGTGTGTTTGTCTGTGTGTGTGTGTGTGTGTGTGTGTGTGTGTGTGTGTGTGTCTGTGTGTGTGTGTGTGTGTGTGTGTGTGTGTGTGTGTGTGTGTGTGTGTGAGTGTGTGTCTGTGTGTGTGTGTCTGTGTGAGTGTGTGTGTGTTTGTCTGTGTGAGTGTCTGTGTGAGTGTGTGTGTCTGTGAGTGTGTGTTTGTGTCTGTGTGTGTGTGTGTCTGTGTGAGTGTGTTTATGTGTGTGTGTCTGTGTGAGTGTGTGTTTGTCTGTGTGTGTGTGTCTGTGTGTGTGTCAGATGCTTCAGGGGGCGTTCCTGGTGAATTTAACAATTCTGAAAAGATAATTTTGCAAAATTTTTACGGTTTACAAGCATCTCAAAACGTTCTGTCCCCAAATTCCATAATTAATAATTAAGACTTTTTGTAATGCAATTTCAGAATTTAAGGCATGCTTTTTTTAAAGACTCATGGTAGCCTGTTAAGTGATTTTTACTGTGCAGTCATTCAACTAGGAGCCAATTTCATTATATTTACGATACGTTAAAATCATCACTGCTTTTCTGAATATAAATGATTTTTGAGAAAGGTCATCATTTAAGAGCAAAACAATCATTCTAGCTAATTTTTCACACATTTTTAACTTTTACAGCTGACCTCAGATCAGCCAAACACTTGCCTTGATGCCGTCTTTCCTCTTCTTCAGGATCAAATGCAGGCAGTTCAGGCCACGGCGGTCTGGAGAGTGACGTCTGTGGTACATTACTGACAGCACATTAAACTAGGTTAGTATAATAGACACATAACATGACTTAACACTAGAACAGCTTAACAAGACACATAAGAACATGGCAACTATTAAACTTCATCAACAAGTCAGAAAAATGACAATATTCTTTGTGGTATACAGACCGAGCCCGAAACAAAGAGCTACTATTAACAATAACTGAATTTAAAAATAAATAAAGGTAAGTGCAACTTGTTTAGTAGTTTCTAGCAGTTCTGTGTTTATATTTTACAATTGTGAGTTTACATCTCAAAATTATGAGTTTATATCTCGCAATTCTGAATTGGGATCAAACAAAGTCAGAACTGTGAGATGAAAAGTCGCAAATTACATTTTTTAAATTTTTTTTACCCATGGCAGAAACACGCAGCCATAAACAACAGTACAGGACAGGATAAAATGATAATCTTTTTAGGGGCTCAAGCGTGTAGACCTGAAACCCTATTGTAATTGTTAGAATGGCCAAGGATCAGCAATCTCCACCTAAAACTGACTGAACAGACCAAACCCTAAGTCGCAGAGACTTGAAACTTGGAGGGATGGTAGTACTCACACGGTCTACAACGTCACCAAGTCTCGCCCCAATCGGCCTGACGGGGGCGCTACAGCGATCAAACTTACGAAAACGCTCATAACTCCGAAACCGTCAGTCGCAGGCTCAAGGGCCTTATGTCGTTGGAATCCTTGGACAAAACGCATTCTAAATTTTTGGATTTTTTTGAAAAATCTACTTTTGCGAACCAAACCAGTGCAGAAAGATTCTCTGGAAAGTGAATATCAATAATTATCAAAAAAAAGTTGAACTTTCGACTCACCGTCGCAAAGGGAGGACAAAACGTTCAAAAGGGGCGGGGCCACTTTTACTAAACCGGCTATAACTTTTCAACGGAATGAGATATTTTCACCCAACTCGGAACACTCATGTAAGAGCTCAATCTGAAAAAAAAAATCGAGGAGCTTGGCCACTTGGTGGCGCTATAAACACATTAAAACGGCTATAACTATGCAACCATTTGTCCAATCAACATGAAAATTACTATGCAGTGTCTTTGTCCAAAGTGCCACAGGTGTCCATATGGACATTTGCGTATCCCAAAAAAAACATGGCCGCCATTGGCCAATGATGTTTGAGCACCGGTTAGACCAGGTTAACGGAGGTCAATCGGAGCGAAACTCAGTGGGCCTCTTTGACTCATGGCCCTAGAGGTCTGTGACAAATTTTAAAGAAATCGGCCACTAGGGGGCAATATCGCATTTTTCAAGGGCATAAACGATTGTATATTGCAGGTTTTTTATTCAGAATCAGAAAGAGCTTTATTGCCAAGTGTGTTTATTTACACACACAAGGCATTCGTCTTGGTGTCAGGAGCTTCCAGTACAGAAAGTACAAACATACCATGTTTTTTTATTTTTATTTTCACACAATATTTATATCATCTGATAGACCTCTTCATTCCGAACAACTCTACAAACCACTGCTGTCAATCAAATCGTTTGTTAAATAATTGAGAAGATATTTAAAAAAAAAAAACTTCTTTTGTGAACTAGTCCTAGGTTTTTCACTCAGTCTTGAAAAAACACTGCAGTACAATTCTCTGGACTCTCTAGATCAATAATTATCAAAAAAAATGTTGAACTTTGCCCTTTCGGTAGCTATAACGGGGTCGTTTATAAAAGGGGCGTGTACAAATATACCCAAAACCCTATAAAGCCTAAATGAAACCTCAAAACTTCACGAAACTAGGTGAGCACATGCAACGGGTGATTCTAAACAAGCATGCAAAGTTTCATGAAGATCAGACAACATAAACGTTAAAAATCCTAATTTTTATATGGTAAATAACCTGGATGTGCTAAAAAAAATTTTTTTTTTAAATCATTGAATTAGGCGGTAACAGGCTTGCTAAATAATACGTAATGTCTTTTTTTCATATGTGCTTAAACGCCTTAAAGCGCTTGAACCCAGATAATAAATAGCCTATATATATATAATACATTTATTTTTTAATCTTACGTACCCCAAACAATTGAATGGTTTGCACAAAAAAATATTAATATATTAAAAAATATATTAAAACACTATATCTATCTATCTATCTATCTATATCTATATATAAATATATATAAATATATATATATATTTTTTTTTTTGCTTGGTCCTATCACAAATAAACATTTTGGCAGAAATAGGCTACAGTGCTGTTGGCACATTTGATCCATCATTTTCTAATGTACCTGCAAATGCTGAAAAAGAATATGCTATACATGTAGGGATCTCAAAAGGGACCCAAAACACATGCACACTACAAGATGTGTTTACCTTGGATAAATGATGCTGCTCGACCACCGGAAGCGCGTCACTGCAGGAACCAAACAAGCTGCACAACGTTACAGTGACATATGAAATCTGTCTATATTAATTCTGTACAATCACAACAATGTATTGAAGTCCACCTCCAAAAAAAAAAAAAAAACACATTGGAACTTTTAACCAATATTTATTTTTCCTCCGAAGAACTGAAACTGACACCGAACTGAAGGAATGACCCTTCACATGGACATTAAAAACAACAAACAGATTGGTGCTGGCAGTTTATAATCTACACATATGAAATCATAGACGTTCGCTACCTTCCCTCGACTCGAAGCCATCGCCGCTTAAGTCTTCTTATCTAAAATATCTGCTTCTTCATTCCCTTCTACCCCAACATGAGCTGGTACCCATACAAAATACACTTTTGTTTCTTGATTTTGTGATCTATATGTTGTTGAGTGAAGGATTTCTACTAATATATCTTGTCTTGATGTGGATTTGCCATACATTATACTTATTGGAAGGCAAGCCTGCAATCTTCAACATGTTTTCTTTCTTTGGTTTCCCCTGAATTTAGACTAGTAAAAAAAACCAGGTATTAAACAGGAATGCTATGCACACGAGACGGAGAAAGTCACGGTTCTGTAATACATCAATGTTTTATTTTTGTGACACAGAAACTCCTGAACACCTCTGTAGATTCATTCACACACCAGTGTTTGTTCCAGATGCGCAGAGGTAAGACTGGATAAAGTTAACGCAGTCATAAATAATTATAATAAATATCAAGTAAATGTACAACACATATTTCACTGCGTTCATCTTTTTGTGCGGATGTCTTTTCACAGACTTCTCCTACTCTTCTCCAAAGAGACAGCAAGAAAAAAATGAAGGGACTATCTTTGATAGCAGCAGTTGACCATATCAAAAAAATAAAATAATAACACACACACGCGCACACACCCACAAAACCCTATTATAGTGCTGAAATGCTGATCTTTTCAAAGAAGTACATCTATGGTAGCATCAAGCGTGTTTGTAATGATGGCTGTACATTACAGAACTCGCAGCGCAGTTAAATGGTTCACCAGAAAAGTTACATCCGAAAGATCAGGAAATCCTATAAAGAGCATCCGATTTATATTTCAATTGCAAAACAGTATTATCTTTATAGACACAGAAAAGGTGATTTAAAAATCAACTCAAAATGAAAATAGCTTTTTCTCTTTGGGAGGGAGGGGGTAAAATATGGACCTTCCAAAAAAAAAAACTAAAGCGATTTGTAAATCCAAAGGAGATTTTCATGCACTAGAGTTTTGGGTGCAAAATCATCCCTCATAAGCAATACAACTTTGTTGACTGCAGCAGTGCCATTAAGAAATGAAGTTGGCAACCTAAAAGTATTCATATTGGCAACCAAGACCATAACTTTAGCACCGCTCCGCTTTTTTTGTAGCAAACGTTTTTCCGCATCGTAAACCACTCAGAAATGGATACAGTTCAGCGCTCTTTATATTACTGTAGCTCGTTTCTGTAGGTGACTTACCTCAGTTACAGACCTGAACAGCATATGTACCTTTAATAATATAGGCAGGTATTTGTGTCGTAAAGCAGTCTTGCCATTTATAGTTCAGATTATATGCTCGATCACATGCGTACTTGTAGTTCCCGGACAGAGCCTGTAGCTTCAACAGTTCCTTGAAGTGTTTGAGTCATTGAGAGCGCAAACCCTTTCAAGCCTCTAAATGGGTAAACCTCACAAAACCTTGTCAAGAACATACTCTGGCGTAAAGAAAATCAAGCTTAATTTAAGACCATTGAGATTCATTCACGACGATAATTAATTACACACCAGATGTCAGGTGTTTTGCCTGGACAATTTAGAACAAATTAACAACAACACAAACAAAATAAAAAACGCAAACATATCAGGTGTATTACGGTAATGAGAACTAGAAAAATTGCAAAAAGTGGGGAAAAAAGGAAAAAAATCGTAGGTGCATTAAGGGAATGAGAATTTGGGGAGGGGGGGGGGGGGG